CGATCTCCCCAAAACCCCAAAACCCCAAAACCCCTATTGTGAAGATAAGGTCGATTTTTTAAATTATAAAATATAGCGAGAAAATTAAAGTGTATATAAGGGATGTTTGATTATATTACGAATGCTTCAATATTCGAATTTGAGTGCTTCGTACTTCTATATCTCTTCTTTGACTACATCTAGCTTCTTTACGAATCCTGAAACAGTGTCGTTTACCTAAATTATGTTTGAAATCCAATGATTAAGCACTTACCATATTGTTTGAGACTACCAAACTTTTGAAATCATCCGAGTTTAGTACATTGACATTAGATGTGAAATCGTACTTTGAAGTAATGAAATCTAACTTGGCTGAGAGAGAAGCATTGATCTGAGCAAGTTATCTATGTCTTGCCTCCTCTTTGAGATTTGTAGCTCTTTCTTCCTCGACTTGTTTGGTGAGATCATCAGCTATGAGCTATTAATTCTCAATTTGAGTTTTTAGGTTATTAATATGGTCTTGTTATTCAGCTAATTTATCCTTGTAGAAATCGAGATTCTTGAGAGTAGTAGCTAATTTCTCGTCAATCTCCAGCTTTTCATCAAGAAGTCCTTCGTATTTCTTCTTCTCATCCTCAAGTTTTTGTTGAAGCTCTGTATTGTGTTGAGTTGCAGTTTCTTCTTATGCAATCAATTCCTTTACTTCGACATTCTTATCTCTGTTGAGTTTTGCTTGCAATCTTTTAGCAGCGATTTCCTCTTTCGCTGCTAGTTCTTTTTTAAGCTCTTCATTTTTGACATCAGCTTATTTCTTCAACTCAATCAACTCTTCCTTTTTGTCATTCAAGTATTCAGTAGCATCTTCGAGTTCTTTGACTTAAATTTGCAAGATTTCTAGCTACACATTAGCGTCTTCAATTTATTATTTAAGATCTCTAGCTTCTTAAAGAGATTTCTAAAGCTCTACATTCTATTCAAACTTTAGCTTGACCTCCTATCTTTCACCTTTTTGCTTTAGGATTTCTTAGTCTTTATTCTTGATGAGCTCTTCTTAAAGATGCATTTCAAGACTGAATCTTTGATTAAGCAAATCCTCGAATTCCTTGTCTTTTATGATAGTCATCTTATTGTTGTAGTTGTCCTCGTTCTCTCTATTCAACTCTGACTCTAGTGATCTACACTCGTTTTCAAGATCGAATCTTTATTTAGAGGTATCTTTGAATTCTCTCTCAAGCTCAAAGAGTCTCTTTTTTGTATCAAAATCATATTGCTTTTGAAGCTCCTCAATCTTGTGATTTTGTTAAAGCATAATTGAAATTTGAGAATCGAGAACAAACTAGTCGCCTACAACATCAAGCTTATACTTGTTTAATTCTTCTATTTTCTTGTCAAAGTCTCTTTTCATTTTGATGTACTTTGATTTGAGCAAGGATATATGCTAGAAACTAGACTTCTCATCGTCAAACAGAGAACCAATGCCACTTTTTTTTTCATCCTCTACGACTTTTTCTTTTAAAATTTTAAGTTCTAGTTCCATAAAATGAATTTGCTGTTGAAGATTTGAGATATATTCATCTTCAACGTTTAGGTTAGGATTAGTTCCTAAGGCTGGATCACGATTCTTATCTTAACCTCTAAAATTCATAGGTACAGTTGATTAGTGCATTGAAGCTCCAAGGTTTAGACTTCCAAGCATTGAAGTTTGAGGATTAAAACTGACACCTGCTCCAGCTAATTTGCCGCTTTTCCTTGTTCCTTTTTATATTATAATTGTAATTTATATTACCATAAGCACTTCCCATCCCCATTGATGATCCCATTGGATTATGACTTGATCTGCCAAACGATTGTCCTCCTTTCATTTAAAAATTACTAATATATTTGTTATAAGAAATATCTCCATACTTTTGAATATAGCAAATTTAAAATTATTTAATTCGTTATAATCTTAAAATCAAATCTAAACTTGCGGGGTTTTGGGGTTTTGGGGTTTTGGGGTTTTGGGG